CCTTGCCTGCCAAGCCATGGGAATTTCACAAGCTAGCTTCAATACCTCCCAAAGGTAGTGAAATCACACAGTCGTCTGGTGAGCCACCATCCACTCTGCAGTCGTAAGACTGAGGACTTCTTCACTTCTTTCACAGAGCCCTGTTATGTACGCAGCAGGACTCCAAAAATCCATCTGCTTCAGCTTTAGTTTGAGAGGCCAGGGCCAATTAATTGAATTCAGGGTCGGCTTGCTGTAAGTTCAGCCAGGGAAGACCTACTTATCATTTCCCTCTGGTCATCCATAAAGCAGAGTCACCTGTCTGTGGCACCACTTTGGCATCTGATGATGGAACTTGTTTAACCATTGATCACATCACCACATGGGAAAGAAATATAAATGCCGTAACCTTTTCCTGTTCCTGCTTTGTTCTCCTTGTCTTCACTTGGCCTTTCTGAGATTACTGGGGAAGCTAAAACTGTTCGCCCCCAACAAAGCACTTCTCAGGTATAGGATGACTCAGTAGACAGAAAAGCTTTGGACAATCCCCAGAGTTATTGGCCCAGACATTAGTGGCATTCCATGGAGTCCATACCCCATACATAGGTATGGTTATATATTCCCTGCTAAAATCATTTAATACAACCTCAGCATTTTATGCACTCTCTGGTAGAAAAATCATGCCTTCCCTGTGCAAAAAGGTTTGGGTGATGCTTGTGTCCCACTCTCGGGGATCTTGATCACTTCCCCAACACTCGCTTGAGTGGCTTTACCTAGCTTTAAGGTCACAGACAGGGCAAAAGCTTTTCCTGCCATGTTCTTGGTCCCTGCACTGACATCATACACTACAGACAGCACCAGCGGCATGGTGGCTCAGTGGTTAGCACCACCGCCTCACAGCTGCAGGGACCTAGGTCTGATTCCACCCTTGGCCAACTGTCTGTGTGGCCTTTGCAAATTCTCCCTGTGTCTGCATGGGTTTCCTCTGGTGCTCCAGTTTCCTCCCATAGTCCAAAGATGTGCGGGTCAGGTAGATTGGCTATGCTGAATTCCATGCCATAGTATCCAGGGATGTGCTGGCTAGATAGATCAGCCATGGGAAATAGGGTAGAGGGGTGGGATGCACTTTGGAGTGTTGGTGTAGACTCAATGGGCTAAATGGCCTGCTTCCACACAATAGGGATTCTATGATTCTACCCCAATGAATCCTATCATTACTTCTAGCAATTAGCCAAACAATTTCCCATTTTGTTCCAAAGGTAGTAGCTAGGCTTAGGTGCAGCACTCCCACCAATTCTGCCTTGCGAAGAGAATCATTCTTGAGCCCAGCTGTCCCTTCTCTCCCCTGGCTGTTTGCATTCCTTTTGAACCTTCCACAATCTATCCTTCTCATGTTTGTGAAGGCAATAGAAAAATGTTTCCCTTGGGATAAGGACTTGTGGACAAGCTCATAACCATCAGCCACCTTGTCTGCTTGTCTGACAGCTAGAACCTTTTGGTTGATTGCATGGGTTCTTATTGATGTAGGGTGTGAACTTTTAACTCCTTTAAGGAGAAATATCCCTCTGAAATTCTCATACTTTGGAGTCTACTGTAAGTGGTTGCATTGAATGATTAGAGCTCAGTTCCTTTATCGTCTCAAACTCCATGAAGGTCTGCCCAGGCTGCTTCCCAAGGCTTTAAAATTTCTACCTGTAAGCCTCAGAGACCAACTCATAGATACTGAGGAGAGCCTTTTTTGTCTGAGGCCTCCCCAGACAGCATGGCATCAACTTTATGAGTTTTGCCAGTTAACCCGCATGTGGGTAGTGTATCTATTCTACTCCTTGGTTCCAAGTTTATTTTGTAGCAGAGGTGAGGTTAGCATTATCAGAAATTGGACTTAACTGATGCAACTTCAGTACAGCCAGTAAATCCTTAAGAAAGCGGGGAGAAGTGGCCTGCTTGAAAGTAGTGCAGAACATTTTTGTACAAACAAATAAAGTGGAACAAGGACTCCGAGAGCACCTAGATTTTGTGATGTAGCTAGAGGCTCTGGTATAGATGATAGACAAGCGAGATCACTTTAAGGGCATAAAGTCGTCTTGGCAAAACTTGCGGTAACAATGAGAAGACATGATTCTTTTGAGCAATTCAAGTGAAACTATTCCCCAAAACATACTGTGGGTTTGGCCTCCTACACATTACTCTCCGGCTCCCTCTCTGGCAAGCAATTCTGTATTTCTTGTTGCTCCCCTTCTTCCTCTATTGTAAAGTTAGTCCTTACCAAACACCCATGACCGTCAAAAAATGCAGCCAAGCAGTATTAAAATCTTCTTCCCAGTAATTAGTTAATTTTTCATAGAAAGTAGGACATAAACACAGAAAAAAAATTGACCAGAAGCTTAAAATCTCAAACCAGCAATTAACTCATGTTGACCTATTTAAATAGCATTGAAGGGTTTTGATTAGTGGCACAAATTGAGTGAATTTATTGTGCAGTGAGTTTTACTCTGGGACAATATCAATATCAAGAAAGAGTTTACAATAAGCAGCGCACCCTAATTTAAACACATTTATCCATTATTTTGAAAAGTTTTGATACGTTCTCTGGATATCCAGGGAACAGTCAGCTCCAATATATTGGGTGGGAGACATAATGAAGATGCATGCACTGCAGACTGTATTGAGTTTTTAAGCACCCATTTTGAATATGAAAGAAGTTGGGATAGAAACTTCTAGATCCAAGTCTGCTGTCTATGAAACATTTACTAATTAAGTGATAAAGTGTACATACTGCATGTGCCTTGAGGCCAGTGCTTTTTCTGCTCTTATAGACTATTACATTGTGCCAAACAGTCTGTACTATGAGAACAAAGAACTTTTAGGAATATCACCATTTAGTGAATTACATTCTACTATAACTACTCAGTAGATAAATGAGACAAAATTGTTGGGTGTTTTTAACATTCTCTCAGGCAGCTTATTAAGACATCTATAGATAACAAATTGACTACAACCACAGATATTCCCTGTGGTGGTTGGTCTAGAAGTGCTGTGATACTGGGTTGACTGTGGGTTTCCTGGTAGTAAATGCACTGGGGAGAAAATGCAGGGGCAATACTTTGTCCCAACAAATTTAATGTTGTAGTATGTAGTCATGTGTGGCTACTGTAGATATTGCTGGAAGCAGAATAACAGTGCACTATTACTGCAATTCAACAGCTCTGAATATGTTTTTCTTCATTCTCTTGCTTGACACTTTGGACAGGATTTTGGATAGGCTGCAGGACCCAGAGACCAAACCAGTCTCCAGATTGTTTTTGTTGCAAATTCAGAAAAAAAAAATTCTACATTAAAGGAATTGTTACCATCAAGACATAATCTTGCTCCTCTTTAACCCCTTGTTGACAATGAGAACATTATAGATAGATTGGAATGGGATTAGAAAGCATAAAATACATGTTCTTGTTTTCATACTGGTGCTTCTAATGAACTTGGTTCTTGTGATCTTAAGACAATAAGATATAGGAGCAGAATAAGGCCATTCAGCCCATTGAGTCTACTCTGCCATTCAATCACGGCCGATATGTTTCTCAGACCCACTCTCCCGCTTTCTCCCCATAAATTCTGATCCCCTTACTAATCAAGAACCTTTCTATCTCTATCCTAACCATATTCAGTGCCTTGACCTCCATTGTCTTCCGTGGCAGTGAGTTCCAAAGATTCACCATCCTCTGGATGAGGAAATTCCTTCTCATCTCAGTACTGAGCTCTCTCATGTTCTTTGAGTGAGAATGCATTGAATGGAGACAACCATAACAGGACAATAATAAATTTTAATTTATCATTAACCTCAGTCCTGGCACTGAAAGCTGTAGATCAACAGAATTTTCTAGTCTTGATCACTAAAATGATTTCCACGTAAGGTATAAATGCCCAGAAGAGATGACTCATGGCAGGGTTAGTCTGCAGTCCATAAGAGTGTTGAATTTTGCAACTTAAATCAAATAGAATCAGTACAGAACAAATATAAATATGTATTACTGTATATGATGTTACAGAATAGAACTTCTACAAATAATGATCTGGTCACACAAGCTTTAACATGAGTAAAATGATGCATGATGCTACTAAGACAATGGGAGAATGAATTCAAGCTTGATCATGAAAGGTTTTCATTCAACACTGTTAATAGTTTGATTCTTGTGTAAATTATCTTCAAACTGAAAATTTTCACAAACAAAATGATCCATAGTAATACAGCTTACTATCTATTGGTATTTTCATACTGTGAAAATAGGACCAGAATTTAAGTATAAAAAGGTTCATTTCATACTTAGCTTCTCCAGACAAGAAGCAATGCTTGAGAAAGTAGTGGTCAGGAAATCATAAGATTCATGGTATGATTTGCTATCTATGAAAGTAAACGGTAAAAATAGATACTGAAGTCTCACAATCTCTTCAGTTGCTCTCTAGCAAATTTGCTTCTTTGATGGGGCTCCATGAACCCCTGGAGGGTGGTAAATCCATAAGGATAATGGGGAAACCCTTCAACTGGTTTGGACATGGCAGTGATAGTGTCCTGCATTGCTTGTGGCCCTGTTAATGGGAAACCATGATCGAGGAATCAGCCATTTGACGTCAAAAGGCATGGTGTTTTTTAATTACATTGGGGAAAAATTCTTCTGATGAAATTATAAACATGTTCTTTTCAAATGTATTTACAATGTTGTTACAAATAGAAACCAAAAAGCTACTTCCTCAATCATCTTACATCATGGCTATCATGCAGCTTTAACAATATGCGCATGTAAACTGATAATAGCATTTAAGTGAACATGCTCCACATTCAACTGGCACAAACATAAACTTTCAAAAATGTAATATGATACCATTGAACACGTGAAGTCAAGCAAAGTGGCTTGACTGCCATGTCTCTCTTGCAGCAACAGCCTATTCTAGTTGCACATTCTAGTAATTCACTATTACATATCTGTATGTACCTTTCTTTAGCACTAAATATCAAAAAGCATACTCACCTCAAATAACAAATAATGTTCTTTAAGTCTGAATTCCTCTGCATCTTTAGATTTGACATTCTTCTCTGGGGGGTGAGTACTGTGTTCTGCTAATTCAGTTGTAATTTGTCTCCACTTGGTCTCATGAGACTTCAGCTGCTCCTCCTTTATTCCACATAGTATACATAAGTTAATTTTATAATTCAATACATCACTTAAAAATACAGGACATTTAGTGTTTTATAAATGTTGTTGATTTATCATTGATTAAAGGATTTTACAAGCACATCTCTGTGTGATAATTTTTTTGAAAACCATTACACAAAAAGAAGCTCACATTAAACATTGGAATTCATAAAACATGCCTCTAAGATTATACAAAAGCGTATATGGCAAATTATTATTGATCCATATTTTCCAGTCAGTGGTGAAAGGACAACACTCGCTATTGACCTTGAAGAAAGGTGCCCACAAAAATCGAACAGGTTCTGTGAAATTGATTTGCTTTTTTTACGATGCACCTTTAATTCAGGCACCATCTAGAGGACATCTGTAGCATGAGGAATAGGCAAGTCATCAACAGAAATTGCTGGAAAAGCTCAGCATGTCTGACAGCATCTGTGAAGAAAATATCAAAGTTAACGTTTCGGATCTGGTGACCCCTCCTCAGAACACTGGACCCGAAATGTTAATTCCGATTTTTTTCTTCACAGATGCTGTCAGGCCTGCTGAGCTTTTCCAGCACCTTCTGTTTTTGTTCCTGATTTACAACATCCACAATTCTTTCGGTTTTTATTAAGCAAGTCATCAAGTAGTCTAAGCAATAAAATTGAACAATTATCACGAACAGCAAACCAGGAAGTAAGAAGCACTAATCATCATGCTATTTAATTATTTTACACAGAGTAAAGTATTATTTGAGACATGCACATTAGATTAAAGTAAAAGTTAAAACATCATTAATAAACATAAGAGAAAATAAAAATTAAGAAAAAAATTAAGTTTTAATGATGAAATGAAATGACTGTCCAGGCTTTTAAAACCAATTATCCAGAACCAGATAGGTAAGTCAGCTGTAGTTAAAACTTAGAATGCTATCAAAAACTTAATTGTACCTCAGCAACAAGCCTAACCATTTAATTTACTTTTGCAGCAAGAATGGCGTGTAACATGTTGAAGTTCTCATCAGATTTTGGATTCTATGCTGTTTGTACCTGTAAAAAACAATTCAATAGCATACCCTGAGGAGGAACAGGGTATTAGCTATAAGAATTTAAGAAATAGTAGTGGAAGTAGACCATTGAGACTGCTCTGCCTTTCAAAGCGATTATGCCTGATCTTCAAGTTCAACTCCACTTTTCTGCCATTCCTCATATTGCTAAGCTACCTGAGAAGAAATAATTCATCTACTTTAGCTTTAAATATGTTCAACCTCTGAATGAAAGAATTTCTTCCAATCTCACTTCTAAATGATTGTTTAACTTAACCTGAGACTGCAACTCTGTCTTCTGTATATTGCAGTCAGGGAAAACAAATCTACATCTACCCTATTAAGCCCTCTCAGAACCTTAAATGTTTCAATGTGATCTCCTCTCATTCTTCTAAACTTCTAAGACTACAGACCCAATTTATTGAATCTCTCACTACAGGATAACCCTCTAATTCCAGGCATCAATCGAGCGTTCCTTTGCTATACTGCTTCCACTGCAAGTATATCCTTCCTTAAAGATGGAGACCAAAACTTCCCACAATATTCCACCAATATCTCTGTACAAGTGCAGTTAGAACAACAGCAAAGAACAATACAGCACAGGAACAGACCCTTCGGCCCTCCAAGCCTGCACTGCCGCATTTTGCCCTTCCATACTAAAACGGTCTTCACTTACAGGATCCATATCCCTCTACTCCCTTTCTATTCATGTATTCTTCCAAGTGCTTCTTGAATGCTGCTATAGAGTCTGCTTCTACCACCTCATCTGGAACAAGTTCCAGGCACTCACCAACCTTTGTGCAAAAAACTTGCCTCGCACATCTCTTTTAAACCTCCCCCACTTGCACCTTGAGCCTGTGTCCCCTAGTAATTGAATTCTCCACCCTGGGAAAAAGCCTCATACTTTCATTTGTACCTATGTCATTCACAATCTTATAAACTTCTATTAGGTCGCTCCTCAACCTCCTGTGTTCCAGTGAAAACAAACCCAGTCTATCTAATCATTCTTCATAGCCAAAATCCCGCATATAAGGCAACATCCTGGTAAACCTTTTCTGTGCCCTCTCCAAAGCATCCACATCCTTCTGGTAGTGTAGTGACTAGAACTGTATGCAGTATTCCAAGCATGGCTAAATAAAGTTCTATAAAGCCCGCAGCATACTTGTCTATCCTTATATTCGACCCCCCTTCCAATGATGGAAAGCAGGCTATTTGCCTTTTTTACTACCTTAATTACCTGAGCTGCCACCATCGGTGATCTGTGGACCTGCGAACCTAGATCCCTCTGTATATCAATACTTCTAAGGGTTCTGCCATTCACTGTATAATTTCCACCTGTGCTTGACCTTCCTAGATGCATCACCTCACATTTGTCCAGATTAAACTCCATCTGCCATTTTTCTGCTCATGCTCATAACTGATCTATAACCTGCTGTATCCTTCGACAATCCTCTTCACTATCCACAACTCCAACAATCTTTGTATCATCCCTAAGCTTACTAATTAGACCAGCTATGTTTTCGTCCAAACCATTTATGTAGACCAAAAACAGCATAGGTCCCAGCACCACTGCTCACAATCTTCCATTTCAAAAAGCATCCTTCCATCCTTCCACTGCTACCTTCTGTCTCCTATGACAAAGCCAGACCAAGTTCTGTATTCATCTTGCCAGCTCACCCCTGATACCATGCGACTTAACCTTTTGTACCAGTCTGCCATGAGGGACCTTGCCAAAGGCTTTACTGAAGTCCATGTAGACAACATCAATCTCTTTTCCATCATCATCTTTGTGAACTCCTCAAAAAAATCAGTCCAGATAGTGAGGCACAACCTCCCCCAAACAAAACCATGCTGCCTATCACTAACAAATCCATCTATTTCTAAATGTCGACTCAAAGATAGTAGGAACTGCAGATGCTGGAGAATCCGAGACAACAAGGTGCAGGGCTGGATGAACACAGCAGGCCAAGCAGCATCATAGGAGCAGAGAGGCTGACGTTTCGGGCCTAGACCCTTCATCAGAAAAGCTAATATTTCTAAATGTGTATAGATTTTGTCCCTGAGAATCTTTTCTAATGATTTCCCTACCACCAACTTGAGACTCACAGGTCTCTAATTTCCAGGATTATCCCTGCCACCCTTCTTAAACAATGGGACAACATTGGTTATTCTCCAGTCGTCTGGGACCTCACCTGTGGCCAAAGGGGATACAAAGATGTCTGTCAATGCTCCAGCATTTTATTTTCTTGCCTTCCTCAATATTCTGGGATAGATCCCATCAGGACCCGGGGACTTATCCACCTTAATACTTTTTAAGACAGACGACACCTCTCCTTTTTTAATAGCAACTTGGCTTAGAAACTCTACATTCCCTTCCCTGAGATCATCCTCCACCAATTCCTTTGGTGAATTCTAACTCATTTAAAACCTCACCTACCTCTTCTGGCTCCACACATAGATTTTCTCCTTTGTCCTTGAGTGGCCAACCCCTGCTACCCTCTTGTCTTTTTACATATTAATAAACAGCCTCGGGATTCTCCTTAATCCTGTTTGCTAAAAAGTTTTCATGACCCTTTTTAGTCTTCTAATTCCTTGTTTAATTTCTTTCCTACTTACCTTACATACTTCAAAGTCTTCATCAGTTCTCATCCTCCTAGACTTTATGTATGCTTCCTTTTTCTTTCTAACCAAGGTCATAACATCCCTGGTCATCCAAGGTTCATGTAAATTGCCATACCTACCTTTCATTCTCGTAGGAATGTGCTGAACTCTTATTAACTGCCGTTTGATATACTCTCACACGTCCGATGTAGATTTACCCTCAAACATCCTCCTCCAGTCAAAATTCTCCAGTTCCTGCCTAATATTATTGTTGTTTGCCTTCCCCTAATTTAACACCTTCACTGTTGTTCTCCCTATCCATGAGTATCTTAAAACTCATGGTATTATGTTGAGATGAGATTCTACTCAGAGCACCCACAGAAATGTGAAGCCAGTTTTTAAATAGTGCTGTACTGGCAGAGGAAGGCAAACCGTGCCCCCTTTTCACAAGAGTCAGCAGCTGAATTTCGAAAAGTAATGGTCCAGAATCACAGACAGCCACTAAATAACATCATAACACCATAAGATATAGGAGCAAATTTAAGCTGTTTGGCATATTGAGTCTGTTTCAATCATGGCTCTCAACCCCATTTTCCTGCCTCCTCTCTACAACCTTTGATCCCCATAAGTACTTAAGCTAAGTGTGATGTTGATGTGCTGGGAAGGCAGGGTGCCAGATGGTTAGGGTGCCAGATGGGTAAAGTGCATGATGCCAGTTAAGTAGAGTGCCAGATGAGTAGGATGTAGGGTTACAGGGATATGATGTCAAGTGAGTATGAAAACACAGAACTGGCGTGAATTTTGGCTATTTTTTTGCTTCCTTCCCTATAACATATTGGGACAGTGATGGAAAACACTCAAAGGCTCTTCTGGCATCATAGTCTTTTCATGATGCCACCGAGAATAATATTTTCAAAACAGCTTTATGCCACAGAAATAATCCAGTAATTCAATCCTCTTCACATAGATCTGAATTTCAAAATGTTTTTGTTTAAATTTGAACGGCTTTTTAACACAAGTCTGCTCATATTTATTTGAATTTATAAATATTTTGTTCATCACATGCGTATGATTTTGTAAAGATGGATTTTTCAATCACATTTTCAACTTTTTTTAACAGGTAATGCAACAGCTTGAAGCGGAAACCTATAAGACAGAAACATATCTTTTCTATTCACTGTAGTCAGTCAAGTTTGTCAGTTTTCAAAGCTTCTGTGAGTATTCTCTTTACCGCTCCACATGCTCTGAATCTTAAGAATTAGTTGGCTGATGCTACAGGGATTCATTAGAGGTTACTTCATAGAGAAACTCTCTGGGATTCCAACAAAGTTTTAATTGGGCTGTTGTGTAATTA